CCCCAAAGAAACAGAAGGCACACCCGCCTCGGCTCTATAATCACGACCATCAAATGTAACCTCTTCTCAAAAAGATGGTAGAGCCGAGGGAACAACAGACAAGAGTTTATCTCAAAACCCAAGTATCCTCCCAAAAGTAGGTAATTAAATCTTTAGTTTCAGTTAATCAAACCAGTGGTTTGACCATTGTTTAGCCTGAAATATGAGAACAAGTACCTTCCCTTGCTCTCTTCACACCCCACCAACCTACCGGAAGGCAACAAAATGAAAAAAAAATAAAGGAAAATTTAAAAAAATTGCAAGAGTTATAACCAAAAGTCTAAACGGCTGGCATAATGCTGCACATGAATAGTATAGGAAAGGAAAGATTTTCTTTAAGGATATGGGCATTTACCCATCCGGACATATTGGTCTCCATATGGTACATATCCCTCCTGTCTCCACTGCCTGAAACATAAATTTCAAATACACCAAGGTTATTTATCTCATCGACTATGAGATACACACAGATGAAAAAAACTTTAAATTAGTTGAAAAAGATGAAAGAGCCAAAAGCACCTGCTTTTTGCACAATATGCAACGACCTTTTAACTCAAGCTCACTGCTCCAAACCTTCGCAAAGTTTATACTGTGTTTGACAAATCTTCCMTCATCATTTGAAGAACTGGATGACAAAAGCTCCCTTGACTTAATAATGGATTTGTTTAAAGTATTTGCATCTTTCCCATCAGCTTCACTCCAGGCGAAATAAACATGTCTCTGGCTTGATGGAACCTAAAGCGTTGAGAAAGAATTTAGACAGAAAGTCCAAAGTTCACAATAAGGAAGTGAATATGACCGATGATGCTGACCTTCAGAACTAGGCTTTTCATGTCAGATTGGTACTCTTTCGACAATTTACGTACCACTGAACAAATCCTAACAGCTTGAGGTTCTCTACCCGCAATTTCTTCAACGTGACACTTTATAACACGTACAAAATTTTCGGCCCTCTTGAAACTTTTTAAATGGATGATTAAGTGCGAAGGCTGGGTCTGAGCCACTTTTGCCAACTCCAGTGCCATGAGCTCCTCCCATGGAACATCCCACAGAATCTTGGAAGGTTTCTTATCCATTTTTTCTGGATCTGGGCACTAAATGGTAAAATAGGAGAGTAAAATATCCAAATAGAGAGGAATCCATTACAACCAATAAATGCAACAGAACAAAAATAACATTGGCAAACCTGCAGAAGCATGACTCTTTTGTTGGTCACCAAAACAATTCTCTGGTAAGGTACAATAAAGTGTTCTTCATAATAATCAGAAAATGCAAATTTTGAAGGCTCCTTGAAGATTTCAGTACAACCAAAATGTGTACTACCTTCTGCGAGATGAAGAACCATCTAAGCCACAGAAACAAAAAGAAAAAGACAATCACAATTAAAAGAGGGCTTGAAATAAGGTTGATAAATACAATTTACACTCTTCATCATTAACCTTCCAAGGTTGTGCTTTCCCATTTCGCTTGATAAAAACAATACACTAAAAGGATGAAAAATAACTAAGTTCTTTGGAATCAGAGAGATCATCATGAATTGTGCACCCAAAACTAATGAAGCATTAACACCTCTTGCTTTAGGCTGTGCTTCTTTTAACACATTAGCCTTTGGGTTCTAACATTAAGCTAGGAGTTTAGAAACTACTTGTCCTAAACTTAGGATGGGCTTGACTTAGGTTTGGCCCCACCTAACCTGTCCCAAGCAGCTGGAGTCCAAACAATGTACCAACTACCAAATTGTTTACGGTACATGTAGAATATAGTCTACATTCTTAGGGAAGAAGTTTGGGAGTTTACACAACGTATCCTAGCACAAGTCTGTCAGTGCAAAACCAATACAATGACATTGAACTAGGTGGCAAAGGGAAAATTCCTTCATAGTACCAAGATAATGATTTTATTTGGAGATCTTATTGTTTCAGTGAAAAACATACCAAGTGTAAGAAATAAGGTTATATTTCTTGACTGCCAAATTCATATCAGATTCAGGAAYATACATATACAGGTTACAGAAAGCCAGATTCATTCTCATAAATTATGTGATTGTTTCTAAAAGAAATAGATGGTTGAGGATTGGAACATCTATTTCTTTTAAGTAAAATAGTATCTGTTTTTTCAACTTGAAAAAAAAAAGTGGAATTTGGAAACATGTGAGCAGTTCAATCCTACTTAATAATATCTGAAGTTATTGTTTACAATAAAATATAAAAATTAATTAATTACACTGCTTGATTATGACATTTGAGTAAAGTGAGGAGAAAGAACAAAATGTAAGTCGTAAGAACAATCAGCATTATTCACATATAGCTAGGCAAATATATATATACCTGTCCCACAGCTTCTCTCTCACAGTACTCTCTCAGAATACCGTCAGCATGGATAGCCCGAGGGTTTCTGACTCTTTGGAGAGAGGCCTTCTTGTTAAAAACCTCTAAACACTTGGAACAGCTTGCACCAATTCCATCAACAGTCAGTGAGAAAAAATCTAATGCACCACTAACTGGCTGTACAATAAATCCAAGAAAAGCACGTCCTAGTCCATGAGCCAGACCGAGTAAACCATTCTGTCTAGCACTTTCCACAGGTTTTGTAACCACGCCTGACACCCCAAAAGCAACACCCTGAGCAAGAGCTTCTGTGCCTTGGATAATTCCGTCACGTACACCGGTGATTCTCCGTGACCATACCTGCTCCATTCACAAGTCAATCTTAGAATGAAGACCTACTAATTGCATGTTACGGAAATAAGATACCTGCTTTGACCGCAATTGCAAGAACTGGCCATCAGTTGAAAGTTCAGCGAACCCTTTGCTAAGTGAAGCCAATGTTGAGCTTGTSATGCCAAGCACATCTAATGAAAATATTAGGTGTAAAGGATTGTGAATAAAATCCCTCCAGATACGGTTTCCAACGGCAGGAAGAATAGAACTTTTACGCATGTACCTATCCCTGTGCATCACTCTTCTTAGATGCACCTGAAATGACATGAAGCAGTACGTTTCAATCATAGGATATCTTGAAACTTACGCTCCACAAGTAGACTAGTGAATGAAGAAAAATGTAGGAAAAGAGTAAATTACTTTATAGAGTTTTCTCAGATTACAGGCATTTACAGGCATATTTTAAGTTGTAACACAAATCTGGAATAGTTATTAATCAGCAAATTCTTTTACAACGAAACAAATGAAGAGAGCACACAAACTACACATTAACTATTTACTCTTGTTTCATTACAATTTTTAAATTTCACTGAAAGGAAGATAATAATGTTATTCTGGCAATGAGTTGCTTTTATTTTTTATTATTTTTTTTAACAAGAAACATATATGAAAAGGAGAAAAAGTTCAAGAATACAAACTCCCGGAGGAGTGAGGGAAAAAAAGAAAAAACAAAACAAAATCTCTGCATTATCTTCGAACTGGAATTGTATCATTCAGAAGCAAGATGGAAAAAACTGGAAACCCCGTGATATGATTCCACCTTAGAATGACGTGCACTGTAGGTTTAGCAAGCCTAGAACTCCGTGAAAACATTAACTTAACCTATGACTTCCCAATTCTAACATAAAACTATGAAAACATTAACTTAACCTGTATCTTGAATGCATTCCCTACAGCTGACAATATGGGGCTCCATATGCCTAGAACTCCGTGGGGCCTTTGAGCTGGTGCCGTTTCCAGAACCACTTTCAGCTTTACTTCAGAAATATCTATTAGACTAAAAAAAGTAAACAGCCTTATTAGAATCCTGATTTCTGAACTTAATAGAAACAATAAGAGTGCTTAGAGACTACAAATAGGAACAAGTTACTGATATGAACTGTGATCTAAAATGGAGAATGAACAAAACATAGACTAATTAGAATTTCTGTGGAAAGTAAAAATAAAAGGATATCCTAAGCATTCAAGATGCTCAATCATCTCCCACAAAATTATACTCAAAACCAGCCTATTTCTATTTATTGTCCTGGCCGATGCTTAATGCGTCACTAATAGCCCAAGTAACCAAAAAGATTTTCATACCTTTCCAAAGTGAGCTTCTTCGATATGACTGTCAAAACATACCTTGTGCTTTGTAAAATTACCAATCAACCAAAAAATTTAAACTAATGAGTTACAGTAAATTTAATTTTTTTATAGATACCTTAACACTTTCCCTCACTTGTATAGGCTTGAAAATTTGTACAAAGTCCAACAAGTGGTAATCTATTAAATGGGAGGAAATGACAGGAGTTTGAACACATGAGCTCTTGTTCTAATAGCATGTAAATCACCAATCAAATCAAAAGCTTAAGTTGATGGGGTTACGGTAAATTTAATCTTTTTATAGATACCTAATATGCTAGTAAAGCAATGTTATCTATAGGCATTACCTTCTTGCCAGTTGTGTAGCTTCTAGTTTGTCCTCAGCATCAGTATTTTTGACAAAAGTAAATTAGTAGCCAACAAGTGGCGGTTCCCAGTTGCATTCAAACACCAGAAAGATCTGATTGGTAAGGCAACAAATTTGACCAAACTCCAAATTGGTGTATCCCATTGTTCATATGGTAGATAAGAAGAGGAGTAATCTCCATAGGCTTAAACATACTTTCTCATCAGACGGAGCTATTATATCCTTGTGCCACTTAGACATACTCAATTGTTGTTCACATAGGCACCCTTCAGAAAGATACTATATAGAGTGCTCCTAACCTGAGACCTTTGTTGAATGATTCCATTCTTTATAATGTCTATTGTATCAGAATTGTAAACTTCAACCCTAAAACTGATGCTAACTAATTCGAAGCCAGCCAAACGTTTTTGAAATCTCTATTCCCACTTCCTTTTTTTTTTATTAGAKACAGAAACCATTCATTAAACGGAACAAAACAAAAAACAGCCTAAGGACAAAGGACAAGGAGTCCCTCTCCAAAAAACTAAAAGAGGAAAGCTCTCCAATCTTGAACTATCTGAGAGGCTGTAATTACAAAAGAATTTTTTGTTCCTATAGCACCACCAAGAGACTGAAATATGCACACTATCAAAAAAAGAATCAAAAGAATTCGCCTTGTTCCCGAAGGACCGGCTGTTCCTTTCTAGCCACCGCTGCCAAACCAAGGATCTAACAGCACAACCCCATAATTCCTTTCTAATGCTCTTAAAACACCATCCTTGAAAACACTCTTCAAGCCATYCGTCTATTCCCACTTCCTAGCATCAATTTCATGCGAATTAGCATCAAATCTTCTTAAACTCAAAGTACATTAGGACAATAGCTTGTAAACTCACCCTCAATGCACCAGAGCTAAGGAATTTGAAATCACTAGCAATGTAGGCAACCTCCTTCCCATCGCTCCATCAAATTGTTACCCTAAATGCTGTCAAATCCTCCTACTCAGCTATTAGAATAGGTCGCTGGTGGTTACTCTTCCCATTGCTGGTCCTCCATTTGGTAAGTTCCAGACCCAACCCAAATCAAAATATCCATGACTCAACTGGTAAGCATTATAATTCCAAAGGCGGCCCTGAGAATTTGCATAAACATTAAATCTAAGTTTCATATCCTCATTGGTGATTCTTTAAGTTTGTGTTATTCTAAAACATCTATCATTTCACGATTGAAGTAGTAGTCTTATCTTATCCATTCTTCACCACCTTCAGTCTCCCTTTCGTTAGGTCCTCTAAAAAATAGTTAGGAAGGTCAGCCATCAAGAAATTCAAAGCTTCRGTGATTTCGCCCCTAAGGAGCAGCCCCRTTGGCAATSGTTTGAGGTCTCTTGGTCATACCGGCTTAGAGGTTTCAAGTCCGAACCTATGAGCCTAATACAAAAATTCCTTCATGTTTCTCGAGCCACGTGCCTTAGTATAGGGGAGCAAAGTTACGATCCCAGTTATCAGAAAAAAAAAAAAAGCTTCGGTGATTTCACCAATGAAAAGAACAATACAGTCAACATTAGCAATGTAGAGACTACGGTTGGAGAGAATCCAATGTTAAGTATTCTCATTATTAAAGTCTATATATATAGACAAATATACAAGGTTGACCTAATCCTATAAGGAGAAGGTAAATGACAAATTAATATTAATACAAGAATATAAAATATA